AACAAAGGGAAAGATGCAAAAAGAAACCCTTTAAAAAGGACAAAGTTTTAAAAAGCGCGATGGCAATTTAGAGAAAGTTCAGTGTAAAAGGTAGAAGTGTAAACTGACGGCCTACCCAAGAATCACGGAAATCTCGCCATTAATACAAGGTACATACCATTGTACTCGAGCCTAACGGAATATCTGAAGTTGATTGAACCGGTGCTTGAAAATTCAAGGTAGGAAGATTATTTTCCGAATTCGAATATATTATTAGGAATGAGAGTAGGCGGAATATATAATTATATAGATAAGTGATCCAATTGCGTGATCTGTGTTAACTACGGATACGTGTTTTGGTTTATTCTCACTTAATATAAGTTTGTCCAATATATAAGTAATTTAAGTTAAACTCTTAATAAAAGTCATATTAAGAATTCTAAAATGTCTCTTCATTTCGAGAATCCCACAACTTTAACTTAAGCTGAAACCCCACGATATGGTCGACAAAGATCGCCCATATCACAACCTACTTGTTCAAATTTTCAATCATTAATAAAATACTTTCTAATTCAAGTTGAAATACATTGTTTTGAAATTGTAGTGGATGACACTTGATGTTAATACAGTTTTTTTTCAAATATTAATTCATTAGTTAAACTTAATTAATGAAAAAAGAGTCCAACACCATATATAAAAAGGAAAACAGCTCATTGTGTTCCTGTAGCACAATGGATAGTGCATTGGGATTCTAGAGTTGGACTTCTGGATCGTAGGTTCGAATCTTACCTGGAATGGCCTAATTTTTGAGAATGTGATTTATGAATGAATAAATAGTAACAAACAAAAATGATAGTCCAACACCATATATAGAAAAGGAAAATCGCTTTGTATTTTGCCACTTAATATTGTGCTTCTGTCATATATATATATACGTATTTATATAAATTGTAATTGTTTATTAAAAAGTAACTAAAATAAAAATTTTCTTTGTTGACCTAAGTAGGAATTGACTTTAGTTTTTTTTATATTACTTGTTTAAACTAAACTTTTTTTTATATATATTCTTTCATATTTTTTCAGATAAGCCTTCAAATATCGGGTAATTCAGCTAATTTTATATATGTTAGACTTTGCTAGTTAGTTGATTTTAATTATCTGCAGAATGAAAATCAGAAGTTTAAAGTGGTTGATAATTTTGTCTCTCTTTCTGCTCAAAGATTAAAATTTTTAACGACATTGGACCTGAAATTAAAAGAAGTAGTATTGCTGCTAGTCGCATCTAATTTTTATGGTCTAAAACACACACAGGGGCTCTCAACCTTTTTAATGAAGGTCCACATACATATATCAGCTATTTAACGCGGGCTGCGTACATATGTTAGTTATTTCACGAGGGCCGCAACATGAGGATAAATGAGGGGGGCAGAAATGCTCTAATCCCAAGATAACATTGAAATTTAAAATGTGGAAAATTAATCAAAATATTATAACTCCTTTTTGTATTTTTTTAATTATTTTTTATTTATTTTTGTCACCAACACTAAATTATAAGCATTTAAGAAACACTTTCTACATTGTCAGTAAACGGTTTTTCATGTGATTACCAATTCATTTCATAGTATTTCCTTGTTACCACTGTGATATTACGACTGACAAAACACTTTGTTGCTGTTGCAAAGACTATTCAAGAAAGCCTGTTAATCATCTCTTGCAAGAGATGTTCAAGAAAAAGTGTATTGAATGTTTTCTGTTTATTGGTATTTTTTAAATACAACACTTTCGCGACAAATCAAACAATTACTGATCCTTTTTCGTTTTTCACTACAACATAGGCAACCTACCAATCGTTTTGAAAAGATATATTTTTTCGAATATTTTTCGATTGCAAGATATGAAAGATAGTTTAAAATTAACTCGACCCATAACACTAGTTACTATTCCACTGCTGTCAGTCTTGTTTCTCTCTGTTATCTCTAACATTAACCATTCCAAATAGAAAAATAATATCAATTCGTTCCCATACGACACCGACAGCAAAATTGATGTATTTGATTTCTTGACAAAGAATTTCCCACCAAATTTTTAATACAGTGTTCTTAAATAAATGAATTTCTCAGAGTAATGGGCCATGACCGTGACACTTAAAAAGGCTGTCTTAGCCGCATGCGGCCCGCGGGCCACAGGTTGACTATCGTTGGTATAAAAGCTTTCTTAAAGTCAAAAGTATTTAAATAATATACAAAAATTATAAGCGGTTTAAAAAATCATCAGACCCGTACTTCCCTATGGATTTGGAACTTTGACTAAATCACAGACGGAATAGCTAGCCATCTTTAGTGAAAAGGCCTTAGATATATCTTTAATGCTGTGAATGAAAGTGGATTGTGGAGACTGCGGCACAATTTTAGATATATACAAGATATTTAAGGAAGCAGATATCATTAAATCTTTCAAGATTGGTCGTTTGAGGTGTGTAGGCCACATCTGCCTTAAGGTATCCGACTGCGTTCGGAGACAATTTTCTACAATATAACTTAAATAATTATTGAATTGCTACTTTTTAATTAAGTATGCTGCAAAACTTTGAACATACAACAAGAAGAATTTTTTGAAAGCTTATTTTTCAAAATATTCAGAAATTTGTACCAAAATATTGCAAAAAATTGTTCTTTTGCTAACAACTCTAGAAAAATATGTATCACAAAAATAAATAAAATTTTTCAGGGATACAACTCAACGATTAACTGTGATGTCTATTAAAAAAAAACTCAAGTTTCATAATAAAAATTGGAGAATACAGGTGTTTGGATATATATAACACAGAATATTTCTTGAAAAAGTTTTTCATATAAAATTACATTAAAAAATAACTTAATTTTAAAAATTATCCTTAACTTTGTATAAGCAGAAAGCATTCATTATAATACCAAGAAACAAACTCAAAAATTTTCATAAGAATATTTCTGTTTACTTGAAGAAATATTACTCTACCGTTAACCATGTGATGTTCAAAAATAACATTCTTCAGAAATGCAAAAATAAAGATTATATTTGCAATAAATATTTTAAAGATTTAGGAAGGTATTAAAACCTCCAGATTTGTATGTTGTGCCTCCTGTAACCCTCATACTTAAAACTTTACATTTTGAAGGGCCTTTTTTAAGAGAGACAGTTTTTTTATATGGTTTAGAATGCCTCGTAGAACCAACAATTTCGTTTTGTCAAGGTACCAAAAATATCCTTCCATTTCGAAACATAATTTCATTCCTAATTTTTGAAGTAGAGGTAATAGACCAGCAAATTCAGAATTAGAAAAATTATTATTGCGATATAATTCCTTAAACGAGTAGTTTGTAGTCAACAAAAGATGTCTTTCGGAATTATACTCCACAATGACATTATTAAGACTTTCATTGCAGTTCTGAGCTTCCGTGAATACATTTTGAAGATTTTGAAGATTTTGATCGCAAAGTTCCCATTAGTCTTTTTAATAGAATTAATGATCGAATTTGGAAGATCCGTTGATTTTTCTTCAAATCTGCCCTCCAACAAATTCTTCTGGAACACTCTTCTTTTTTGGACTCATTGATCTTGTTTGCATGTCAACTTTAATTTAATTAAAAATAACTATAATTCTATATAAAAGTACTAATAAAAAGTTATAAAGCGATCTAATTTTGAACACAAATGATAAAGATAGCAACTCGTTTAAATCAAAGCAAACATTGCAATCAGTAAACCATTGCCTATTTTCGCTAAAAATATACTTCCACAAAAAAATTTATAAAGTGAAATAAGTTTACTAAACACAAAAAGAATTCATTAAAAATATTTTAAATGCATAAACATCTCATTTTGCCGGTGAAAATCAACTGAAAACTCACACTTGGTTTCCTGGTTTGGCCATTACCTCAAAATAAAAACAGCTATAACTTTTTTCTAATTGACTCAGAATTAAGAGTAGACCCCTTTTAGAAAAGCTTATTAAACAGGCTACAAAAATGAGCCATAAAATAAGTTTCGATTTTTTGATGAAAAAGGATGATTTTAAACCAGTCGGATGTCTGTAAGAACTCTCATCCTTGACGTTCAGGATTTTCATATTTTCAAACCAATTGGAAATAGAGCTAGAGGTAATTCCCAAATTGAGATGGGATGATTGTGTAGAGGAGGATTTTAATGTTTTAAGCATACCTATTTGGAGAAATCAGCTCATTAATTGGAGGTTGGAACGGAAGAGAGTTCTTTGAAGGCCTTAGCCTACACAGGGCTGTTTTGTTGATGTATTGAAGACTTGCTACTTTATTTAAGCGTATCTGAGTACCCTAAAATCGTGAAATTTGCCAAAAATTGACATTTTTGTATGATTTTGTTTTGAAGGCCATCTTATTAGCTTTATAAAAATACCAAGTTTATTATTTTGCATTCACTAGAACAACAACTACAAATGTTTTAGTAAATACAGATGCCGCTACCTTAAACAAGATGTCATACTTTAAAAGGCGTTTTACTAAAAATGTTTTTTTTTTGAAAATGCTCAAACGATGGCAGCGATGGCTCAAAAAGTTTTGAAAATAATCAACTGAATTTTTGTGTGTGTATATGCTTTATAATAGTAAAAGTGTTTCAACCTTCAGATGTATCAATCACTGTTTTATTACAAAATTTACAGTCCCTTATGTGAATATAATCAATGATTTTTTGCCAATTTCATATATCAGCTAAGCATAAAAGCGCGTCAGCTTTGTAAAAAAAATTAAAAACAACTATTATCCTGAATGACCTTTTAAAAAATTAATTGCAAAGCAACTCATCAAAACTGAAAATTTGTTGATAAACTTTTTGTACAGAATGGGGGCCCCGTTTATGTAATTTTTCGTAAATTTTAACCAATTTTTTCGCATTTTAGAAATGATAATTTATTTTTCTCTTCTTCATTTTAGCATATTTTTCTTTAAGTCTGTACTAAATAAATCTAAAAACCACAAAAAAATACCTATATCTCCAATTTTTTTAAAAACGTTTATCGCAAGTAGTCGGATACATCATCTATATATAAATTTTTCTGTCCTATCAACGTAATTTGATGTTCATTTAAAAATACTAAAAATTATACAATACATTTAAAAGCTTGACCTCATTAATTATTTTTTTATCTTTTCGGCTTGATTGTAATATTTTTCTCCTAGCTCGTGTGAAGAATGGGTACACATGTTAACAAGTAAATGATTTTATTCTTTGTGCTCAATATCTGTTATTACAAAAAAAATTGCTTTTTTCAGCGACATAATCGTTTTAAGCTTGTTTATGTCAAGTGTCAAGATGTCTGACTAAATTTTTTTTGAAAAATAATTTAAACAAATGTAACAATCTAATATTAAATTACATTTATGTGGGAGTCTAACTAAATTCTCCTTCCCTCCCCCAAAAAATTAGACTTTTCAGATGGCGGGGTTTTTGTGGCGAGGTGTCTAGGGGTCTTTTAATATTTACCGGTTCAGTTTCATAACTAGAATTAAAATAATGAAACCGCGAAGAGACTTCTTGAAAATAAAAGAATTTATTTACGGTTTAAGGAAAAGTTTATACACACACAGGGGAGTGTTTATAGGGCAATAGGAATTAAAACATGGATGTATTAAGGTATCCGAATACGTTCGGAACCGTAATTTTTCAAAAGCATATAAATGGATAATATTTATGATATTTAGTGTCACTTAGATTAGAAAATGTATATAAAATTGTTTTAAGAATAGTTTTACAATAACAAATTATTTAAGTACAATATTTTGAC